GGAAACTAGCACATTAGCTATATAATAGGAAGTGGAAACTAGCACTTTAGCTATATAATAGGAAGTGGAAACTAGCACATTAGTATATAATAGGAAGTTGAAACAAGTACATTAGCTATACAATAGAAATTTGAAACTAGTACATTAGCTATATAATAGGAAGTGGAAACTAGCACTTTAGCTATGTAATAGGAAGTGGAAACTAGTACATTAGCTATATAAAAGGAAGTGGAAGTTAGTTCATTAGCTATACAATAGGAAATAGAAACGAGCGCTTTAGCTATATAATAGGAAGTGGAAACTAGTACATTAGCTATACAATAGGAAGTTGAAACTAGTACATTAGCTATACAATAGGAAGTTGAAACTAGTACATGAGCTATACAATAGGAAGTTGAAACTTGTACATTAGCTATATAATAGGAAGTTGAAACTAGTACATTAGCTATACAATAGGAAGTGGAAACTAGTACATTAGCTATATAATAGGAAGTGGAAACTAGTACATTAGCTATACAATAGGAAGTGGAAACTAGCACTTTAGCTATGTAATATGAAGTGGAAACTAGCACATTAGCTATATAAAAGGAAGTGGAAGTTAGTTCATTAGCTGTACAATAGGAAATGGAAACTAGCGCTTTAGCTATATATTAAGAAGTGGAAACTAGTACATTAGCTATACAATAGGAAGTGGAAATTAGTACATTAGCTATATCAAAGGAATTGGAAGTTAGTTCATTAGCTATATAATAGGAAGTGGAAACTAGTACTTTAGCTATGTAATAGAAAGTTGAAACTAGTACATTAGCTATATAATAGGAAGTGGAAACTAGCACATTAGCTATACAATAGGAAGTTGAAACTAGTATATTACCTATATAATATAGGAAGTTGAAACTAGTACATTAGCTATATAATAGGAAGTGGAAACTAGTACTTTAGCTATGTAATAGGAAGTTGAGTCTAGTACATTAGCTATATAAAAGGAAGTGGAAGTTAGTTCATTAGCTATACAATAGGAAGTGGAAACTAGTACTTTAGCTATGTAATAGAAAGTTGAAACTAGTACATTAGCTATATAATAGGAAGTGGAAACTAGCACATTAGCTATACAATAGGAAGTTGAAACTAGTATATTAGCTATATAATATAGGAAGTTGAAACTAGTACATTAGCTATATAATAGGAAGTGGAAACTAGTACTTTAGCTATGTAATAGAAAGTTGAAACTAGTACATTAGCTATATAATAGGAAGTGGAAACTAGCACATTAGCGATACAATAGGAAGTTGAAACTAGTATATTAGCTATATAATATAGGAAGTTGAAACTAGTACATTAGCTATATAATAGGAAGTGGAAACTAGTACTTTAGCTATGTAATAGGAAGTGGAAACTAGCACATTAGCTATATAAAAGGAAGTGGAAGTTAGTTCATTAGCTGTACAATAGGAAATGGAAACTAGCGCTTTAGCTATATATTAAGAAGTGGAAACGAATACATTAGCTATACAATAGGAAGTGGAAACTAGTACATTAGCTATATAAAAGGAATTGGAAGTTAGTTTATTAGCTATATAATAGGAAGTGGAAACTAGTACTTTAGCTATGTAATAGGAAGTTGAAACTAGTACATTAGCTATATAATAGGAAGTGGAAACTAGCACATTAGCTATACAATAGGAAGTTGAAACTAGTATATTAGCTATATAATATAGGAAGTTGAAACTAGTACATTAGCTATATAATAGGAAGTGGAAACTAGTACTTTAGCTATATAATATAGGAAGTTGAAACTAGTACATTAGCTATACAATA